CAACTCGTCGTCCTTCTTGACCTCCGGCTCATCGTCCTTCTTTGGCTCCGGATCATCCTCGTTCTTGACGACCGGGTTCTGGTTCTTTGGCTCCGGCACCTCCTTCTTGACATCTGGCTCCTCCTGCCTGACCTCCGACACATCCTGCTTGGACTGTGGCTCCACTTCCTTCTGAGCATCCGGCTCTTCGCTCGTGCGCTCCGACTTCTGCTCCTTGCCCTCCGGCTCCTCGTGACTGACCATCGGCTCTTCCTTCTTGACGTCCAACTCTTCGCTCATGGGGTTCAGCCCCTCGTCTTTGGACTCCGGCTCCTCGTATTTAGGCTCCAGCTCCTCGTCTCTGGGCTCCAGCTTCTCCTTCACGCCCGGCTCCTCCTGCTTGAGATGCATCTCCTCGGGATCCTCCTTCTTGAATCCCGCTTCCTTCTCCTTCTTCCCATCCTTACCTCCCCCTTGGGCAGTTCCTGCCTGCTGACGCCGCTCAGCGAGACGCAACGACTTGCGCCTGTCTTTCTCGGTGTCTCGCTGCTTGGACGCCTGCTTCGGGTCCTGCTTTGTCTCGTGCTTTTCCTCCTTCTTGGGCAGCTTTTCGCTAGAAGCTGCACTTTTGGCCCTGGACTTGCGCGCGCTCGTAATGGCCTCGAGCGCTTTACGCTTCGCCTGTCTTGGTCGCGCTCCCTCGGGCGTCGACAAAGGTGAGCTGGTCCGCTTGTGGCTGTGTGTCTCGCACATCTTTGTGAGGCTCCCTACGGCAAGATATCGTTGACGTAAAGAAAGTGGTGTTGAGGCTAGGAGGGCGAGGCGGGATGAAGACGACTGAGCCTCCAAGTGGCTGAGTCACAGCGATGCAAGCCGTGGGCAGCTAGCCGTGGGCAGCTAGCCATGTGTCAGCAAGTGAAATCAAGGTGCGCATCCAGCTCGACACCAGCTGGCTTAGACCTGGCTTAGAAGAAACACGCAGTCTTGCAGGCCTGGGGTGATCACCTTGTCGGCGAAGGTTATTCTTCGTCTCCGTCTACAATCTCGTCGCAGTAGGGACACCAATCTTGGTCGGGTCCTTCGAGTGTGGCATCGCAGGTGGGGCACAGTATCAGATCCTCGTCTTCTTCCAGGCAGTCGTCATGCAGATCAGCCGAACATAGGCGACAGACCTGCCACAGTGGGTCGGTGGTGTTGTTGCAGCTGTAGCAGTATACGATCGGAGCCTCGCATGCGGGGCAGTCGTCTGCAACTCCATCTCCATCTCCAATGGCTGCATCGCAACCACAGCAGCGTAAGAACCCGTCTTCTGGATCCACAATACTTGCATCAACGTCGGTCGAAGGGAAATGAGGGGGATGAGATTCGGTCGGTGAGCAGGCTGTGGCAGTTAAAGCATCGACACTCTTCTCGTCTTCTTGCTCAGCGTTGTGTTCTTCAACAGCACGCTGGGCAGGTCGAGTGGATTCAGCGTCACCGTCGTGGCTGCGCTTCCGATTGCCCATCTTGAATCCGCACTGCAAAGCGCGATAGCCGAGATGGTGGTGAGAGCATTACCCGTGCAAACCCCCCTGCCACGTCTATATTTCAATCACGTCAAGGCACGAAAGTAACGCTGCCAGCGCGCAAGTCACGTTATGCACGCAAGTCACGTTATGCACACGCTCCTTACGCATCCAACCGTATCGGCGGAAAGCAACGTCATACCAACATCCCACGTCAAGCCTATGCAAAAGCACATCGAGCCGTAAATCGAGCCAACTGACACGAATCCCATGTGCACACGGGCAGATGCACGCCAGCTCACACGCAAACCCCACAACCGACTCACTCAACCCCGACAATCGACCACCTCTTCGACCTTCGCAAGCGCCAAAAGCGTCCATATGAACAAGGATATCGCAATCACAACCATCCCAATCCAAATGAAAGACAAAAGGTTCCCATTCTGTATACATTTTCAAGCGACGGCGACGAGCGAAGCAAGGTAGTCGTCGGCAGCCGCCTGCACCGCATCTACCTCGAGTGCGGCCGGGTCCCAGCCGGTTGCCGCATCCTTTCCACCCGGCGCACCCCTTACGCCGCTACCGCCGCCACTCACCGCGGCCGACGACAGCAGCGTCGCCGAGATGCGCTCGAGCGTGGCGCGCGCGCCCTCGCCCAGCTCCACCGCCGCCGTGGCAGTGGGCATGTTGATAAGGATGCGCGCGAGGTTGGTAATGCCCGCGATCATCTCGGTCCTAGCCACCATGTGCGTCCTCTCGCCCGCACTGTTGCCAGCCCCCGCCGGCGTCGAGAGCAGCGCATTGACCCCCGCCGCCAGACTCGGCAGACGCGCCGCAAAGCGCTCCGCCCGCTCGAGCGCCACGTCACGCGAGTCGGGCGTGGCAAGCAGCGACGCGAGCACAGGCACCTCGCGCGACGCCGCCACATAGTCGACGTACAGCGCCGCACCGTCCGCCCAGCCCGCAATCTCGTCCGCCGGATCCCCACCCACCTCGAGGTAGAACGGCGACAGCAGCACCGACACCAGCTC